ACAGCGTATGTTGGCATTGGGACTCGTTTGACAAAACTTAATGTGGTAGGTGAGGTTTAGGGATAGGAATGTGTCGGTAATGGTTAGGGTTAGGGCAAGGGTCACGGTTAGGCCATATAAATTAGTGGGAAATGAATGGAAGTCAATGGAAGGTCCCCACAAGGATATTGTGACACAACATGTGTGTGTGTGTGTGTGTAAATATAAATTTTTTGCAGAATAATTGTTGATAAAAAATAGGTAAGTAATGACAAAGGAAGATGTTTGTTCCAGAACTCAAACCTGAAATAATTTTATCCACCATACCTTTTATCTAGAAAGCACAGATGTTGTTAGCCAAGGCTGTAGGAAAGTATAGTTTGTCTTTATTTAGTAAATATGGATGTTGTGCTTGTTAATTTTCCTGTTGCAATAGTGTAGATTAACCCAGAGGTTCTGGCGGCAATCCGCTTTCGGCCCCCCTTATAAAAATGTTCTGGCTACGCCTCTGCTCCTGCCCTGTGCTGCAGAGCAGCTGCTGCGTCTGGACAAGTTTTCACCAAAGATTTTTGCGCCCCAGGGAGGAAATATGTCACCAATCAGATGAAAAATTAAATGATGCTTTACTCGTCATTAAAGATCAAATATTTATCTTGCACATCTAAAAATATATATATATATCAATATATTTGAAAATATTAAAATTCTATGATTTAATAAAAAAAAATAATGTATGCCTTAATCAAGGTCACTGGGTGGGTGGGGCGGCGCCCTCTATTGGCCGGGAGGTCCACCTGTCGGATGTATTGCTTTGTTAAAGTTCTTATCCGTTAGTCTGAACCTCTCCTCTGAGCTCAGGTGACCTGAGGGTAGAACCACACCTGGACCATCTGCAGACCAGAACCGAGCCGGGTCGGCGCTGATGGATGAGGCTGCGAAGGCATTGAGGACTCCTCCTCAGATGTGCTCCTACGCAGAAAAACACAACCTGTTCCAGCTGATGCAGGTAACGGCGCCACCTGCAGGTTCTGCTGTCAGATCACAGCAGCGGTCTGGTCCTGACCCGACCCGGTGTGTTTCAGAACATGTTGACCAGCCTGGTTCTGGAGCAGCCAGAAGATCCGATCTCCTACCTGATCAGCTTCCTGGAGAGGCCCAACCAGGAACGTAGGTGTCATCATGGCCCGTCTCTTTTCCTTCCTTCCTTCCTTCCTTCCTTCCTTCCTTCCTTCCTTCCTTCCTTCCTTCCTTCTGTAGTTGGTTCTGTAGCCATCCACCAGGGGGCTCCACCCAGACCCAGACTACGTATGTCTCTGAGTAACCGCGGTGTTTCTGCGTTCAGGTCCCCAGGTGATGCTGCTCGGCCCTCCTGCTGTAGGGAAACACACTCTGGTGAGTTTAGACCACTTCCTGTCATCTGAACGACCACTTCCTGCCATCTGAACGACCACTTCCTGTCATCTGAACGACCACTTCCTGTCATCTGAACGACCACTTCCTGTTCCACGCCATCTTACTGCTTCCTCTTCTTCTGTGGTTTCAGGCCAAACGGCTGAGTGCAGAGCTGGGAGCTGTTCATGTGAAAGCAGCCAGTTTGCTGCAGAGCCAATCAGGGCCGAGCAGAGGCAGTGAGGTAAGAGCCAGAGGCCACGCCCACATCCTGCCATCAGGAGGCGCCGTAGAGTCTCAGACCCATTAAAGTAAAAGCCGGCTCAGGTCAGCTCTGGGTGGTTAGGTGTAGGTACCAGATCTGCTCAGGAAACCACAGCGTTCTACATCACCATGGCAACGGTCAGCCAATCACAGAGGGTAACGTCACCGACAGGCGCAGGACCCGATCGGTTCTCCGTCATAGCGCGGCTGGCTGATGATCACACTGGGTCTTTCTGCGACTTTCACGTCCCGTTCCATCAACCGCTTCTTTAAGAACTTCTTTGGGGTTAGCGAAGTTCAGCTGCTCCTCAACGCCGACTCTACCGATGTTCCCGCGCCTCACCCTCCCCTCCATGTCCTCGCACTTGTCCCGTACCTTAGCCAGGTCGTTCTGCAGTTGGGTAGCGTTAGTCTGCCGCGCCTTTACCTCCGCAGACCACGTAGACCGTCCACCTTCCATATCTACAGGATCTGCGGCGGCATTGCTGGCTACTGCAGGCCTCGCCGCGCAAACGTCAGGTCTGAGGATGGCGAACTCTTCAGAAGGAGCACTCCTCATTTCCTCCCAGTTTTAGAAATGCCGCTCTTATACTCTGCAAAAATAGAAATGGCAATAAATCAATTATCTAATTCTCTTAGTCGAAGAGTTAAAATAGTGATTCCAATGAAATCATTCATCTTATTTACAGAGTTTTTCTTCTTTCTAGATAGTTTTTGCAGTGTAGAGGCTAAAATGTCAGCTTTTATCTCGTCTCTCATGCTTCATGTTTGTCTCCTGGAACTCGCCGCCTCGTGGATTTGCAGTTAGCCGTTGGTTTATATGCGTATCCGTCGAATTTATCCGCCATTTATGGCAGAATGTCAGCAGGAAACGTCTCCCTACAGTCCAACACTATCAGTCCAGCTAAGGTCACCTGGTGGTGAGAAGAGGACCTGCAGAGAGCCGTCTCTACTCCAGCTAGGCTCAGTAGCGCCACCTTTTGGCTCCGGGTCCAGAACCTGATCCAGTCCAAGCTGGAGCTCCATCTGACCTGCATGTCTCTGTGTTCAGGGAGGTTCTGCTGCGGTTCTGGTCCAGTTGCTCCAGGAGAGGCTGAAGCAGAAGGACTGCCTCCACAGGGTGAGTTCAGCACCGGGTCACATGTTTTAGCTTCAGGCTAAACTCAGCAGGACAGCAGGTAACCATGGAGACGCCAGAGGACCACTGACAGCCTTCATCAGGATGATGATGATGATGATGATGATGATGCTTTCACCCTGAATGCTGCCCCAGTCTGTCTTCCAGTCTGTCCTCCAGTCTGTCCTCCAGTCTGTCCTCCAGTCCGTCCTCCAGTCTGTCCTCCAGTCTGTCTTCCAGTCTGTCCTCCAGTCTGTCCTCCAGTCCGTCCAGCTTCCTGATGTCCTTCTGGTCCAGACTCTG